GAGACAGATGTGATCCTCCATCTACATCCTCATCTGATCCTCCCCAAACACCATGCAGGGGTCACAGCACTCCACACAGCTGGGGAAGAGGCAACAAGGTGCTGTCCTCTGCCAGCCCTGCTCTCTGACAGAGCCATAGCCCGGCTCCATCTATCCTTCAGACCCCACAGCAGCTGCTCAGAGAGACCTCAGGGGTCAAGGCGGGGAAGGAGCACATCTGCCAAGTCCCCCCTGCGCCCAGCACTCACCCAGGGGGAAGGTGATCTGGTCACACATGCCCAGCAGCTGCCCGAAGGACACCTTCTTCTCCGAGGGATGGATCCCAAGCTCCATCATCCTGCAAGCCAAACCTCAGCGTTAGGGAAGAGCAGAGACAGCGGAGCATGCAGGGGCAGTGCCTCCCACCAGAGGAGCAGGGATTACCTCCAAGTACAAGAGCACGGCACTGACCATGCATCCCAGCATCCATCTGGGACAAAGACTTGAGGGATTTGTTTTTAAAACAGCCTCTTGGCTGGGCCATGGGGCCAGCTCTGCAGCCACTGTGGGCTACCACGCTGCACCCCAGCTAGCCCTGAGTACCAGAAGGGAGCTAGGATCCCCCCAGGCGAGCGCAGAGGAGACCTGACACGCCACAGCACATCTCACTGCAGCTCTGCTGGGCCCCCTCAAGCACTCAGTCCCTGCCACGCCATGCTGCCCAGCACCCACCTGCGCAGGGTGAACTTCACCGTGTCCTCGTTGTGAGATGCCACCATCACGCTGGCTTTCCGGCTGTGCTTGATCTCCTCCAGGATATAGTCCAGGCACCTGTAGGACAGTACAGGGCTGTGTGGCGAGGGCCACCTGGTGGGGTGGGAGGGAGGAGCGTGGCTGGGGCTGTACCCTACCTGTGGTACATCTCGTTGGTCTTCTCGTAGGTGGGGTTGATGGGATCCTCATAGCCAATCTGGGCCGCCCTCTCCCGCTCCTGCTCCATGTAGGCGCCACGGACCAGCTTGGTGCCGAAGTGCCAGCCCTCCCGGCGTGACAGCTCCACGTCCACTGTCACGTTGTCGTAAGCCTCCTGGGACCAGATGGAAGAAACGGCACAGGCTCTTCTCATCAGTGCCGCCTCGGCGCTGCACCTCCAGCCAGCCCTGGAGTTGTGCCGTTGCATTGCCATGGCTGCAGGAGCCAAGGTCTCCACCCCGCTGCTCCAGCAGGCCTGTCCTGCCCAGCTTCTGCCAGACCTCACCTTCAGGTAGCATTGGTAGGTGTTGAAGATGATGGCCCGATCCCTGTTGAAGCGGCGCTGCATCTCCAGGGTGAGGCGGCTGATAGCTGGCTGGAAGTAGCTCTGCTCTGCATCCACCATCAGCCTCACGCCCTTCTCCGAGGCTCTCTGCGGGGGTGAGCGACATGCAGGTTGGTCTGACGGGGCTACCTGCCACGCACCTTCCCTCTCTTCGGTGGCATCCGTGCCCCGCTGCCCCAGCACCCCCAACCTTGGCAAGGACATCCATCCGCTGTAGCATCCGCTTCATCTGCAGATCCTCCTCCTCAGTGAAGCGCGAGAGCAGAGGCTCCAGCTGCCCTGTCTGAAACGAGAACAGCCTGTGGCACCCTGCCTGCCTGCAGCCAGCGCAGCCCACGGGAGACAGAAACCCACACCAGGGAGGCACGCGTTGGTGGCCAAGGGCAGGGAGGAGGTAAACTGCACAGAGGGACGAGTCCTTGCGGCACCTTAACCGTGGAGCAGCCGCAGGGGACGGCTGACCCGCACTGGCAGCGCCCTCCCTGCAGGGCCACCCCAGGGGCGGCAGAGATGGGTACCCACCTGCATGTTGGGGACGAGCAGCAGTTTGGAGAGCTTGGTGCGGCTGTCGATCAGGCTGTTCCAGTCCAGCAGGTCCACAGTGCTGGAAGCACAGAGCCAGGTCTGTACCGGTGTCTTGTAGGGCAGGGGGGTCTCTACCAGCTCCCAACCCCCACCAGCACAGCATGTGCCACCCTGACCCATGTCATGACCTCCACCCAAACCTCCTCTCTGCTTCGTCACTGTGCTGAACCAGTGCTGGCCTTTGGAGACCTCTCCTTGCTGCTGCCCCACCGCCCAGGAACAGGAACAGGTCCCCCAGTGTCCCCATCCCGCTGCACCCCCCAGGTCGCAGGCAGCTCACCCGCTCACGCCCAGGCTGTCGGCTGTGAACCAGTGCTGGCTCTCCGCCTTGGTTGCGATGCCGAGGTTGGCCAGGGCCTCCTGCCACCAAAAGGAGCATCAGTGCCAAGGGGCTGCAAGAGTCTTACTGCTGCAGGCTCAGAGGTGTCACAGGTCAGGGCTGCTCTGGGATCCTTACAGCCACCGGCCACCTCCAGCAGCGCATCCCTGGCAGCACAGCCTCCTCCCTCAGACATCATCCACCTCACCTGCAGCTTCTCCACCTCCAGCTTCATCTCCAGTGCTGCCCACCCAGCCTGGCCCTGTTCCGCGGCCATTTGGTGGAAGAACCTCCGCCACTTCACCAGCACTTCCGAGAACTGCAGCTGCAGGGACAGAGCTCGAGGTGAGACACCCAGGCTGGAGCCCAGCTGGCTCAGAGCCTCCTGCAGTAGAAGCTTTGCTGGATCGTGCCTGGACTGAGGCAGACCCTGACCTTATAGCAGGGGACCTTGGCCAAGCAGGGGCCAAGTCTGTCAGTACAGACCCCACACATGCTCACATTGGGACCTCTAAACTTCTGAGCTCTTCATGTGTCCCCAAAAGTTGAGGCAGGGTCTCCAGGGTGGTCTTGGGCACACAGGGGATAGCCTGTTTGTGCCCACTCCTCTCTGCCATCAGTAGAGATGCCAGTGCAGCAAGCCTGGCACCCCAAAGCACCTGCTCCCCCAGATGCATCATCCGTGGCCCTGGCTCCGACCCACCGTGCCCTGGGCACAGCTCTGGCACTCACCAGGAACTGAGGTCTGCCCAGCGCCGTCAGCTTGATGGCTGAGAAGCCGTCCTCTGAGCTGCCACCTGGATGGAGCCACAAAGACAGAGCTCGCCGGGCAGAAAGGAGGTACCCGAGATGCAGTGGCAGGCTGCAGGGTCCCTGCAGTCCCCAAGCTGCTCAGGATACCTGAAGCACTTACTTGAGGCATCGATGCAGCGGAGGAAAGTCTCCATGTGCTGGTCACACTTGGCCTCATCAGCGTAGAAATATGTTCGGGCACTGATGACCCCACTGCGACGATCCCCAAATCCCCGATGGGCTCGGTACTGCTTCTCCCTTTGCTCTGCTCCTGGAGTAGAAGAGGATGGAGGTGGGCCACGCAGCCCTGTTGAGCTCCTACATGTCTTCCCAGGAGCTTCTGCTGTGGGTGCAGGGGAGGGGGCTCCATCTTGGACCTCAGAAGAGCCCCTGAGGGCTGCAACGGGCCCTGCCTGCTCTGTTGCCCACGCAGAGGCTCAGCGTTTGCTGAGGAGCAGGGCTGGCCAAGAACCAAGCTGTTCTTCACCCAGCTTGTGTTTTGAGGCTGCGGCAGCTGGGCCCTTGCCCCACACCAGGCCAGCAGTGCCTGGACCAGCTGGACCTTCAGACTATCTCCTGTCAGCAGGAGAGGCTGGGTCACTCACCTCCCATCTCCTTCTCGGCTGCAGAGGTGCAGGAGCTAAGAAGAGAAACAGGGAAGGTAAGGGCCAGGTCAGCAACCCGCCGCAACCCCATGCTGGTGGCCAGGGCAGCTCCGAGGCTCCCCCGCTGCCACCCTGGTGTCGGACCCTGCTCTTCCCTCGCCATCCCATCACCAGTGGATCAAATGCTGCTCAGCGGGAGCTCCACTGGCCGGTCAGATGCCCCAAGCCCGCTCATGGAAGGCAACGGGGTTTCAACATCCAGGCAAGGATGTTACCTGCAGGGCCTGAGGTAGTGCAGGAAGGATGCTCTGTCCCACGGACCAGAGCTGCTCTCAAACAGCCCACCCCACAGCAAGGACAAGGTCAGCCCTGGTGGGCCTGGGTGCTCCGTCTCTGACCACACCAGCCCATAGTGCTCACTGTGGTGGAGCATCAAACTTCATCCCAACACCTCCCCACCATACAGGCACCAGCGGCCAGACCATGAAGCAAGGAGCTCCTCCAGACCCAGGGCTGTAGGATGCCCTACTGCAGCTCAGCTGCCCCACGCTACTCTGTGCCTTGGCATTAGCCAACAACTTACAAAGAGGGTCTCAGCTTCAACTCCAGCTGACCTCGGATGTAATTTCAAGCCTGAGCTCCTTGCCACGGAGCTAACGGGGCTCTGACAGCCCAGGGGCATGCTGGCCAAGTCATGAGATCCTCCTTAAGCTTGAGCAGCTAAGCCTTCTCGCTGACACCCTAAATCCAGCCTGCAAACCCAAGGCCTCACCCAGGAACACTGCCAGCCCCTGGAGAGTAGCCCTGAGCGACAGCAGAGCTATCTCCTCTGGCAGATCTCTGCCTTGGTGTCACTGTCCCAAAATTGACCATGCCCAACATTGGGGAAGCACACTGGGAGACAAGCAGCAAAACCACATGGCTGGAGCCAGAGGACTTGCACAAGAGAGCAGAGAGGCACGTGGCACAGTCCCAGAACATGTTCTTCCACATGGAAACCCTGTGACAGGGATTAGGGGCTGCTGGAAGCATAAACAAGCAGAGACAAGTCCTTCCCTCCTGCTCCCCAGAGCCAGGAACAGCCCCGCATTGCTCAAAGCACAGCAAAGCCTAGTGTGAACTGGGGCAGGAGCACCCGGAGCTCATGGGGAGTCGCAGGCACCATGTCTGGCAGGCTCTGCTCCGTGATTTTGCTACCCTGAGGGCAGGTCAAGAAGCTTTCTGCCCCTGAACACAAAGTGTGGAAGAAAGGAAGGAGGAAACATCATACACCCAGGGGTGGGATGCCTCGGAGCAGGCAGCTGGACACGCTGCTGGGACTTGGATGACATGCTGAGAGACGAGTCCTGCAAGCAGGTCCCAGGCGCAGCACAGCGGGACAGCTCTGAACCCACACCCTGCATCCAGCATCTGAGATGCTGGGGACAAGTGGCAGGCAGCAATGCCTCCTCCGACCTACCTAGGGTGAGTGCACACAACTAAATTAGCAAACAGCACCCTTGAATTTGAAGGGCTTTGTGCTCCTCAAGACAAGCACACCCCCTCCAGCAGAATTCTTGCTGCATGACTGCACTGAGCCCTTCATCCCCAAGGGGGGCATTCAAAGCCGAGCCATGGTGCTCACTTCACTGTTCTGCATCAAGCAAAATAAAAGCAGCTCCTTCCAGCTGAAGAAATAGCTCTTCCTGGTTATCATCTGCTTTCTTTGCAATATTAGTCTTGGCTAGCAGAGCCATTCCTGCACCAACCAAGTGCCACTTAACCCAGCTTATACCTGGCCACCCCTTCTGCAAACTGAGAGTAAGTCTCTTGGAGCAGGACATGGCTCCAGGCACTGCCCAAACACTTCTGGCAAGCTGTAACCAGAAAGGAGCCACCTGCAAGGCACACTCAGGACCTGGGAGCTCACACTTGCCCAAAGCACGCACAGATGAAGTCCTCCAAGTGCTGGAAAGAGGTTATGAAGACTGGATGCAGCCTGCTGGATTGCTGGGAAGCTGACACAGCTGACTTGGGCTTTCAGGAAGTTTTTGATCAGGCTCAAATCAGCCATCTCAAGGAGAAGCACAAAGGTCCCCTTGTCAGACATAAGTAGGCAATAATCCATTTTGCCCCAGAGGTTACCAGGAGGGTGGCACGAGCACAGCGTATTTGCTTTGGTCATCAGCAGATGGGTCTGGCAGAGAGGATGAGGGAACACCAGGGAGAAGTTGGCTGTGAATTACCACTTCCAAAGAAAAACTCATGGTCACATGAAGCCCAGACCAGAGCTATGGGTGATGCTTAAAACCCTGCAGGTAGGAATAAAGCAAAGCTCATGGCAGAAGAGAGTCCTCCAAGCCTACCCCATGCACGAGTTGCCAGCATGCACCAGCCCAGGACCACTGCAAGACCTTGCACAGCTTCAAGCTAAACAGAAACCAAACCCAGGGACCCACAGCACACGCAGGCAGAGCACCGGGCATGGGTGGCAGCAGCACTGGGAGCAGGAGGAGGGGAGGAGGTGGCTCTGGAAGGCTGACCGGCCAGGCTGGATCCTAACTCCATGCTGGGGTTAGGTATCAGGTGTCCACACAAGAGGTAGTGAAGTCCACACGCTGCGTGGCAGAGCCGTTCAGGGTGCCCGACAGCGCTCGATGGCAGCATTGCCCCTTCCCCACATGAGCAATGGCCCCAAGAGGACCACAACCACCTCCAGTTAATGGGGGGCTCATTGCTCTTTGTTCCCCCCCCCGGGAGGCAAAGGCCCCCCCCCAGCCGCAGTGCTGCCTCTCCACACCCCGCCCAGGGGTGCCCCCACCCCAAAGACCCCAGCCCACGCCGCTGCCCTGGGAGCAGAGCAGCATCCAGGCTCTGCTGCCTGCAGGACACCTTTCTCCAGCTGTGCCCCCATGGCCTGGCAGCAGCCTTCAGCACACGGCCAAGGACTCCCGGGACAAGCTGGCAGAGCGCTGGCGGGCAAGCCTGCAGCTGCAGGATCAGCCGGTGCCTGCCCGCGCTGCATTGCTGTTCCCAGCCAGAAAGCCTGTTACAAGGAGCAGCCAGGACCCATCGCTGGGGAAGAAAGGGCATTTCCCTGTTGTTATCTCCAGCTCGCTCCAGAGGAGCCGGCTGCGCTGGTAAGTCCAGCACAGCTCGGCCTGCGGGAAACAACAGCAG